TTACTCACTATAGCTGTTGATCGTAACGTTTCTTATGATCAGGATTACTCACTATAGCTGTTGATCGTAACGATTATTATGACCAGGATTACTCACTACAGCTGTTGATCGTAACGGTCTTATGACCAGAATTACTCACTATTTCTATTATAATAGTTTATACAGAATTGTATTTTTTCTACTGCTGACATTGGAAATTACTTTAATTTTCAATTTATTCCAATAACGAAGACCTTTATAAGTGAATGATACTGCGGGTTTATTTCCGTACAATGAAAGAGCGGTGAAAGTTGTTTTTAAATAGAATTACATAAAACATATGTGAAGAAAAAATCATTTAACAAATTTATATTTCCTTTTAACAATGAAACTTAACAAACACATCGACACTTGATCCTCGGAATTATCAATAACAGACGCGAGAATACGTTATTTTTTTTTCTTTAAGTCAACTGCTTACACAGTGATTATTCAATGATTGAAATGTTTGGATCAGTTAAAGCACAAACACCAGATTTTCTCAGATGAAATGTTTGGATCAGTTAAAGCACAAACACCAGATTTTCTCAGATGAAATGTTTGGATCAGTTAAAGCACAAACACCAGCTTTTCTCAGATGAAATATTTGGATCAGTTAAAGCACAAACATCAGCTTTTCTCAGATGAAATATTTGGATCAGTTAAAGCACAAACACCAGATTTTTTCAGATGAAATGTTCGGATCAGTTAAAGCACAAACACCAGATTTTCTCAGATCAAGTAATCATTAGAAAAAAAAAAAAGTCGTTGAATTTTCACTGTGGGACTTTAAGAGATCAAGCCCAAACCGGTTCGTTGCGCCATGGTCCAAGATAAAGCCGTGGAATTAAAGTACTGTTACAAGACACGAGGGGATTCCTGAAAGACACAATCAGCATGTGATAAATACACGTCTTAATTTCATTACTATCCAAAAGCAATCAACTAAGCTAAAAATATATATAAGAAAGGGTGACGTAAACAATGTTTTGTTTTATTTCAAGTTTCTTGTAAATTTATCAATATATATATATATACATCTTGTAAGGCCGCTGTTATAAAATAGCCGAACAGCGGGGGGAGGGGGAATATGTGCAGCTAATTACTGAATGCTTTATAATATATATTAATTGACTACCCACCGCAAACTCCTGGGCTGCTCTTTTTACATACCAATAGAGCCCCCATGGCTCAAACGGCGAATATGTCCTACCCACATGGCCATGTCGGGCCTAATTTTCGTGAGTATTGATCTTTTACATAATGATATTCGTACGAGTTTGGTTTATGGCATTGGCTTCTTTAGTTCATAAATTACTTTTTTTTTTAATTCTCTTAAATATACGGCAAGCTTTATTTTGATCGAAAGTTCATAACAACGTTTCTAATATACGAAATCTAGATTAATTTAAATAAACTAGTGGGAAATACTCAAAAGTACGAAGTACAAATTTGGAAGCAAAGTAAATTAGTTATTTGGTTGAAACTATTTTAATATATTTTGGTATACATTAAAAAAAGTAGCTAAATGTTAATGTATTTTAATCAATGTTAGTTAACTTAGCTAAGTATATATCAGTATATAAATAATTGTTTTGTAAGTTCAGGATCTTGGGAACATTTAAACACGTCTTACAAAGTTACGAAAAAGTAAACAGAATCTGCTCCTGAAATCACAGTAGTTGTATTAATGTATCACCTACTGATGTTGCAGCTACAGCTATACGTTGTATAGCTCCACAGCTACGTGGTAATAGTGGTAATAATAATAATTGAGTTATTGCAAATACAACAATACGTTGTATAGCTCCACAGCTACGTGGCAATAGTGAGAGCTGTTAAAAGAGTCATGCTATCTTTTTTTACTACCTATTGAGTTGTTGCAGCTACAGCTATACGTTGTATAGCTCCACAGCTACTTGGTAATAGTGAGAGCTGTAAGAAAAGTCTCTTTTTTTACCACTTATTGAGTTGCTGCAATTACAACTATGTGTTGTATAATTCTCCAGCTATGTGTTGTATGATTCCCCAGCTATGTGTTGTATGATTCCCCTGCTATGTGTTGTATGATTCCCCAGCTATGTGTTGTATGATTCCCCTGCTATGTGTTGTATGATTCCCCAGCTATGTGTTGTATGATTCTCCAGCTGTGTGTTGTATGATTCCCCAGCTATGTGTTGTATGATTCCCCAGCTATGTGTTGTATGGCTCCACAGCTATGTGAAAATAGTGTTTAAATCTAGCGACCTTGCATATATTATTCGTTTCACAAATTTTTTTAAATAAAAAACAAAGACAGCCTTACACGATACAACAGCTTCATGATTTTATGAATATACTTTAATAACATGTTGCTAACGTTTTACAGGTGTAATATCGAGCCATATCATTTTGGTGTTTACCCACGAACATCGTTCGTGAATATAAAAGTACATAGTTAAATACATCAAACATTTTCGTATTTGTTATTTGCATATTTCGTTTAAGAAAACAATATTTCAAAAAAGTTAATTGCATAATTCTTTCATACTAGCAGAGACCCACAAAACATTTCCGGCCAAATTAGTATCTTTATCGTAACAGTACTCCTTTAAATATAACATTTCTATCACAATACAAACGAATTGTAATCATAGACAACTAAATGTGTAAATCCACTTGTATATAGGCCGTACTTTGTAAAACTTTAAC